AATGTTTTAGTGATTCATAATCTAATATAAATCTGTAGAAGTGACATAAGATAACATACACCACTCGATATACAATGCCTGTCTTATCTATTCAACATAGGAAAAGGAAGAATAAAAAAAAAACTCCTAGGGGAAAAAAATTAAAGGAATTGCAATGTTGCATAACGAGGAAGGAAGAGAGACGAGTTGGCTCCTATAAATTCGTGTAATGAGAGAATTGGAAAGATTTAGGACTGGGATTGCTATGCCAATAGCCTCTTGGGATGTTGGTCACCAAAACCTTTTAAGTCTTGGTGGAGGTGGGAGGTCAAGAGTCAGTTCGAACCTTGGCTCCCACCAGCTACTATATGTGGCTTCCCCCTCCCTCTCTCTTTAGATTAGGTTAAAATATGTTATACAAGCTATTATCGTTGTTGTTGGGAAAAAAAAAAGGATTGGAACTTCCATGAAAGGAAATTGAAAATTAAAAAGGAAAGGGTAAAGTGGTTGCATTTGCAAGAAAACTTAAACAGAAAAAGATTGCAAGAAGGCTCAAAGACAACCCATCCATCCCAACAATAGTCTTAAGCAGACTTAAATAACCAAAAAAATAACAAATAAAAAACTCTTCCGTCCCAACAATCTCTTCCTTATCATGTACTTGTAATTATTTGTTGGTAATTTTTAGAATTTTGTCATTACACATAAAAATCACCGACTTTTTAAGTTGATGAATACAAATTGTTTACATTACTAAAAATGTTACCATCATAATAATTGCATAAATAATATATATTAATGTATCAAAATAAGCACGAATTAAAAAGGAAAGGGTAAAGTGGTTGCATTTGCAAGTAAACTTAAACAGAAAAAGATTGCAAGAAGGCTCAAAGACAACCCATCCATCCCAACAATAGTCTTAAGCAGACTTAAATAACCAAAAAAATAACAAATAAAAAACTCTTCCGTCCCAACAATCTCTTCCTTATCATGTACTTGTAATTATTTGTTGGTAATTTTTAGAATTTTGTCATTACACATAAAAATCACCGACTTTTTAAGTTGATGAATACAAATTGTTTACATTACTAAAAATGTTACCATCATAATAATTGCATAAATAATATATATTAATGTATCAAAATAAGCACGTATAATGATTTATTGCATTTTGGGATTGATTTTTCAAAATAAATCAATCATTATTCCATTATTTTATTAAAATTTGATCAAAACAAATTATCATCTTTAAAGTCATGTAATACATTCTTATCGACAATGAACAAAAAAAATGTACTTTACTAATATATTTAGGTTGTTATCTGTGCGTATTCCAAGTTCTCGGTATTTTTTTTGTTAAGGAGTAAAATTAAAGATTTTTGTACATGTAGTCATTTTTTTCCATCAACTAAATGTCACTAGCATGACAAAAAAAAATGGAGAGAAGAATGAGGGTGACAAATGAGGGAAAAGTGCACTTTTTTTCTTTTTTTTTGTCATTAGAAAGAGCACTTAAAATATAAAAAAGGGCTGCAAAACAATGCAGAGAAGGGGTTAGGTAGAACTTTGAGTGTGATTGAATACTAGATATTTGAAATAATCTTTTTAAAAAATACTATATAATAAAAAATGATATATATGAAATAAAAAAATATTTTAAAAATGTGTTCGAATAAAACATATTCTTTCTCTTCTTCCCTTTTTTTTTTAAAAATAAGGAATGCATCAAAACTAAGGCTGCAAACGAGTCGAATTGAATCGAATTTTAACCGAATCGACTTAATTTGATTAGTTTGAATTCGAGTTCAAGATCGACAAGCTACCAATCTAAAGCTCAAGCTCTAGTTTGACTCAAATTTGAGTTGAGCTCGAACTCAAAAAAATAAAAAAATAATTATTTTATTTTAAAAAATGAATAAAATGATAATTTTCTTAATAACTAATTAAAAATAGATATATATGTAATTTTATTATTAAAATAAAAAATGATATATATATATATACTTGCGAACTAACGAATTTAATATTTTGACTTTAAATTTGATTTAGCCAGTTCGAACTCGATTCAAATTCGAGTCAAACTTTGATTTAAGCCGTTCACGAACGGTTCGATCCGAACACGTTACGTAGAGCCGTATAAAGCAATAAATAAATTCTAGTAATGAATGCTAGGCGGTACAAAACTCGCTGAACAACTTTAGCATGGTCTGACTATCAATTAAATGGACTACAAGCAAGGACGACGAGCAAGGACGACCATGTTAACTGCCAACCAATTAGACAATCAAATAGTAGGTCCTATACACCTAACAAAATATGATAGGAAAGTGTTAATATATAGCATGTGTAATCTAATAAAAGCCAAAAAAAAAATGCAAGATGGAAAAAGGGAAGAAAAGTTTCTGGAAGCCTGGGTGGTATTAACAACAGCGTGAATGATGAAAAAAGGGTCAAAAGTTTCTCGAAAGTCTTTTTACATTATTCTTAACTAATGTTAGAAAACATGTAGTTTAGGCTAGCGCTTTGGACTATTAATAAAATCTTGAACAAAAATGCGCAAGATGCCCACCATATGTATCGTAAAATAAAAGTGGGGGACTCGGCCCTGTTTGGATTGCCATTTTCTGTCAGAAAATTGCGTTGTTTTCCGTGATCACATTTCCCTATTACCTTTTTCCCTCACATACATCAAATCGCTACAGTAATTTTTCTATGAAAAATGACGGAAAATGCAATCCAAACGGGACAAATTTTGATAATCGCAATTAGAAATTAAAGATTTTACCAGCAAATTTATTTACCAAGAAGATTTTAGTAATAGTGCATTCTTGCAATATTTGCTAAAATTTGTCTTGCAACATTGGCGACAGAGTAACATTCTAGTATCTAGTAAGAACACGAGGGATAAAAGGAAGGGCTACTGCCTTAAGTTGGTGGTCGTGATTGGCTAACGAGATATAAGATTAAAATTAAAGGCTCAAACCACGACACATAATTTTGGCATGCTAATAAATACATAGATTCTTTGTGAAATATATGAATAGAATAAATTCTATATGTCTATTACAAAATTATATATAAATCATGTGTGATAAAATATAATTATTTTAGACTTTGAACATTGTTCTCTAGTGATTGGACTGAATTCCCAAATAGTAGAATTTATTAAAAAAAAAACAAACGGTGATGTTTTTCAAACTCTTCCAACGGGGTGAAAATCATATTTAGTGAATGTGTTTATGTAAATAACAAATTTACAGAATGCTTTTTTTAATTCATCTAGATATTGATTTTTCACAAAGTAGCATCCAATAAATACATGATTTAGAAAAATTGATCCATATTTTAAAATTATCAGTATTTGAAAACTCTTTTTTTTTTAAAAAAATATCATAATTTGAAATTTTTCCCCTAGTGATTGCTTCGTGCCTTCCCTACCCTTTCCTCCGGAATACTCAAAAAATAATTGGCACAAGTATGAAAAAGCTTTTCTAACGATTAGCTGCAAACTGCCAAAAGTATTGATGAAAGGACATTGGGCCCAATTTAAAAGAAAAGAGAAAAAATTTATTTTATTATTAATAATACCAATCCTAGTCTTGTCAACTAACTCAAGCGTGCCAAAACAGAGCAGAACATTTTTCTTTGTTGAAGCTCTGTTCTAGTTTCTCAGACATCCATCAAACAACGGACAGCAAGCAGTTTTCTTGAAATGGTTTAGTTTAGCTGTTTTATGCATGCCCTTTTGCAGAAAGTTCAGAGTTTTCTATATAATATGTAACTATGCTGTTAATTGTTATCTGGATACAGAGGGATCTTTTTGGCATTGAATAACTATTGTGATTTTGGGTAGAAAATAACTGATTCTGGAGTATGATCCTAAAAGGTGTGAAAATTTAACTGGAAGAAGTTACTTTTTAATGGAAAATAAAATATAGTGTCCTTTACCCCGTAGCTGAGAATCTTGTTGTATTGAAAACCTGGTGGGAGATTAATTTGGTTCAAACGTAAAATTTCCTGTGAAACTTATGAAAATCAGTAAAGATTTAAGCTGAGAAAATTTTAACTGGAACTTATGTGTGTTTTGACCGTGTCAGTGTGAAAGGTTCAATTGGAGGAAGAGTGGTCTGGATTAGTTTGTCCGACTGCTAAATGTGGGAAAAGATGGCCATTACTCGTCTCAATCTTCATTGTTGTAGATACAGTCGATATTGGTCACATTTATCGGTCTTGATCTTCAGAGAGTGCTGTAATATTCTGGGATCATGGACTTTTAGTTGTCAATGGTGGCAATTTCAACTGTAGAATTTATTATTAACCGTGTAGATCTTCTTGTAGCACTTGTTTGTATCTCCTGCATTACTTTCCTTAGAGCCATGAAGTCGCTTGTTTTAGATATTTGGACAGTTTGTATCCAGAATCCATGGGCTTGTGGAAATGTTCTCTTTGCATTGTTTTTCATCACTAGTTTTAGCCTTTACATTTTAACCTTCTTGTGTTTAAGCAGTTCATACGTTTCTCACCACTTTGCTTCATCTATTATCCTATAACAATTTTCTTAGAAAAACTTTTATTTTCTATTAGATATGGATAATAGATAGAGATCTGGCATTCATTGGAAGCTATAACGAAGACGGTGCACAGTTGTTATGTCTCTGGGCAAGGTTGAGGTAGCAAGTCCCATTACGTTGTTGAGGAATTGATGGTGGGCATATCCATAATAGATCAATGGCTAACAGAAAGGCACATGTGCACATAAAGAAAAACCAAGATTACATTTATAAGCTAATGAACTCATACTTTATGTTGATGTGCGCATATATGTTTGCATGTTTTCAAGTATTTGGTGGACAAATTACGGTACCAGTTGGTCATGCATTGTGATAATTTTTATGCTTCATTCCTAACAAAAGTTCATGCCATAGCCAGTTTTGATTTTAATAGTATTATTTCTTTCCTTCTTGCTGGAATGTGTAATCATTTGCACCATAATACAGGTGTTTTGGAGTGGCACATTGGCAATGGACCAGAATAGCGTGGAGCAGGAAGTAACAAGAATTCTTGAACTTCTCATGGAACGAAATGTGTCCACCATTGTTCTTTCTGGGAAATCAGGAAGTGGGAAAACATGGATGGCAAGAAAAGTTGGTCTCCTCGCAGTCACAAATGAAAGAGTTGACATTATGCTTTGGATTTCATTGAGTGTTAGGCATGATGAGATGTCTCTCTATGAGCATATTGCTCATCAGTTGTCTCTACTTTCGACTTCTGCGGAGCTGGAAATTGATGATATCGAGCAGGTACAGAATGACAATGGTAAGGAGGAAACCTTGGATGACTTGAAAGGAAAGGTGCAGAAAAAACTTTCAGCTAGTAATGTTCTTCGAGGGATACTTGTAATTTTGGATGATGAAGGAAACAAAATGAAAGAAGGGGATCGAGACTTAGAAGAAGTCCTTCAGTTTATCCGGCAGAATGCCTGCCAGCCGTCAATAGAAGTTGCTGATAGAGATGGACAGCAAAAACTTAAGGTGCTAATAACTTCTAGGAATGAAGATATGAGGCACCAAACTCAGGGGGATAAGAAAGTGATTGGGATGATGCGTCTAACTCCAGAAATGTCAATTTCTTTGTTAAAGCAAGGAGCTGTGGCAAAAGTTATTGAAATTTCAGTTGTTGAATTTTTAGTTAAAAACTTCATCGATAAAAAAAAAGGTCTTACACCTGGAGAAGTAGCCTTGCTTGCAAACCTACTAAGTTACCATCAACAAGATTCCAAAGTGCAGGATCTGCAACAGGCTTTGGAAGAAGCATGGGGTGGTGATGACTACAATTACACCCTGTTGCTCTCAAGTGGATATGAAAGGGTGTCAGATCATATTTTGGTTGACTTTTCTTGGCAGGGCAGCCATTTCTTCCGTGACCATGGATCTGTTCACTACTGTGAGCTGATATCATACTGGATACTAGAAGGATATCTTAGTCCTTTTAACAGTCTTGAGGAGGCTTATGAGGAGGGGCACCGCGTTTTGATGCAGCTTATGTACTGTCAAATGCTGAAAGAAGTAAGTGATGATTTCCTCCAAATGGTCAGCGGAACTGTACTTATTAACTATCATCGTCAGGGATATGGTGGAATAGCTAATCTGGGGTTTGCTAATGTTCTTGTGAATAGTAATTATTGTCATGGTATTGGAAAAGTCACTTTGATGGATGGTGTGATCAGAACACTTGTCAATCATAAAAAAGTGCAGCCATTAAAAGTACTTTTACTTGACGGGAGTGGTCTCAGCGGGCAAGATCTGAATAGTCTCCTACTGAACAATCAGGAGCTGCAAATTCTGGGTCTTTTCAGCCTCAGAATTACATCATTGCCATTTGCCTCGTTGCTTCTGCGACTTGAAAAAACTGAACATTCTTGTGCTCAGGGACTGTGATTTCTTAGAAAAGATTGATGAAATTGCAGAGCTAATGACATTAACTGTCCTTGAAGTATCTGGTTCTTGCTTGATAGAAAGTATACCAGATAACTTTTTTCAGCAAATGACCCAACTTCGTTCCCTCCACTTCTCTGACCTTCAGATTCAAGTCTTGCCTAAATCTTTTTATGACCTTACAGAACTCCGCTGGCTTATTCTAAAGGGCTTGTCTCATTTGACAGAGTTGAAGAGTCTGAAGAAATGTCAAAAACTTATGGTTGTTGATCTTTCTGGTGCTGCCTCCTTGCCAACTTTTCCAGAAAAGAACTTGAAATCATTGCCGAAACTTCAAACTTTAAATCTTTCAAACACCAAGATCAAATCCTTGCCTATTCTTCATGAAACCAAGGAGCTTACTCATCTATCAGTTAGTGGTTGTCGCAACATGGATAGACTGCCCAGCATTCGGTCTCTAACTAATCTGCAAGTTCTCGATGTTTCATGGTCAGCGATAATGGATTCCCAGGACAAGTCATTCGAAATTAATAGCAGTCTGAAGATCCTTGACTTATCTGGAACTGCGATTCCTTGGGTACCTTTTAACATCAGCAAACCTTGTGAGTTTTATTTGAGTTGCTGTTCAGAGATAAAATACATGAACTGTGTTGAATCTCCCAAAGAGCTAGAGATACTTGACTTTTCAGGTGCCTGTAATCTTGTCAAAATCGAAGCAAAGTTCTTTGATTGTTTAGAAAAACTTCGAGTTCTCAACCTGTCAAAAACAAAAGTCAAAGATCTGCCATGCCTTTCTCCTCTCAAAAACCTCCATCAGCTGTTACTTTCAGGTTGTCTGAATCTGGAGAAGTTGCCGAGCTTGGCTTCGAGAAAGCTGGAAGAGCTTGATCTATCGAACTGCCAAGCTTTGACCATGATAGAAGATGTATCTTTTCAGCATCTACCTCGCCTTCGGCGACTTATCCTCTCCAATGCTGAGATTGAACGCTTACCAGACCTCAACTCCCTGTCAAATCTTGAGGAGCTAAATTTGAGTGGTGTTATATCAATTGAAAGAGTTGATTTCATTGAGCATATGAGTAAACTTCAGCATCTAAACCTCTCTGAGACCTTACTTGAACAGCTACCCAGCTTATCAAATCTCAAAGGCCTTAAGCATCTGTTTTTAAGGGCCTGTCAACAACTAGAGGCTCTTCCCCCCTTAGAAGTACATCACAACCTTGAGACTCTTGATCTTTCACAAACAGCAATAACGCAATTGCCATTCTTAGGCAATTTGAGCAACCTGCGCACTCTTTTGCTTAATGACTGTCCAAGCTTGGAAGACTTTGAAAACCTCGAGATGCTTCACATATCTCAAGTAGAAAATCTCCCTTGTGGAATCTCAAATTTGACTCAGCTGCAGTGTCTTGCTTTGCCCAGTAAAAAGAAAAATATTCAAGCTGCTGATAGCAACAAGGTAACTGGCTGGCACCAAAAGCCGAGTGAATTACATTGGTCATTTTCGATTGTTGATGGAATGGTATCAAATACTGGCAGAGCTTTAATATCGTATAATGATTCACTATTTGTTGAATTCCTGGGCAGCAATCCTTCTTTATTGGATACTACCTCAAATCATTTACTTATCTCTGTTCATCCTATTGAGGTGCAAAATGGAGCAGAAGACTTGGTTCTCTGTTTAATAAAGAGTTACAGTTTTCTGCAACATTAAGTTCTCACCTTCCAAAACGGCCAAAACCAGCTATGAATGCCCATTCCTAGCGTCTCCGTTTACTCTGTTTTCTTTTCAATATTTGCTCCTACTCTTCATTTGTAATAGTTCCTCCATCTTCCTTAGGCAATCGATTGCTCATACTTCACACGCCTTTGATCATCTGATGGATCTGGAATATCGCTTGTGATGGTCCCCACTGAATCCGTAATTTTTGCTCAAAGAGTTATTGGGCCAGAATCGAATCATCGCGAGATTCTCTCTTTCAATCCTAAAGTTGTCTCTTTTTAATCAAGAGTAAAATGAAATTTGATTGAAATTGGAACCCCTTCCGGCTGCGAAAAGTCAGATAAAAGATACAAAAAGTTTGTTGGGAATGTTAAAGAAGGGAAAAGTTGTCCAAATGCGTGTGAAGAGAATTGAGCAATGAACAGTAGACATTTAATTATTGCATCAAATCCGTTGAAGAACAGTGGACTCGTGACTTTAATGAATATGATGCCACTTTATCAAAGGCAACTACTTTTTCCACTTTTTGTCTACTTCCGTTGAATGCTTGACTTCTCCGGCCCTTGAATTTGCTCTTGCATCAAATCTATCCGCCAGACTCCCTCAAATCAAATGAGAAAAAAAAATCCATCCGCTGAGATTATATATTCAAGTTTCCAACCGAACCGCTTGTTTTTTTTTCCAAACCTGCTAATGAACTGATTTAAACCCAAATATTAAAGTGAGTGCTGATGAGATAGACACGAGGAATCAAATATTAAAGTGAGTGCTGATGAGATCGACACGAGAAATCTCAAATCTAACAACCAAAATTTAAAAATTTTAGATCTAATATGTATTGTATCTAAGCCTGACTATACAGTAAATATTGGGCTACTGCACCTACCTTTTGTTTAGAGGTGTCAAAATGGGTAATTTGGACGGATTTGGGTTGATTAAAATGAGTAATGGGTATAAGTGAGTCAACCTATTTATATCCATTTAATTGTATGCGTGTAAATGGATGAGTCAAAAATTGAATTGGATAATCCAATTACCCATTTATAACTCATTTATTTTAACTTTTTGTAAACTCATTTAAATTCATTTTTACAAACTAAATTATCAATTTACAACTTATTTTGCACCCATAATTAGTTTTAAATATTTATTTATAATACTCAATAAACTAATTACCAATTTGTAACAGTTCCTACTCTTTATTTGTAATAGTTCCTCCATCTTCCGTAGGCAATCGATTGCTCATACTTCATACGCCTTTGATCATCTACCTAGTGAGTCATATCTCTCAACCACATGGCTCTCAACCCGGACAAGAAATTTGCTTATACTTCATACCTTCAACGACACTTTGTCCCCACTGCCTCCATACCCGTTGTGTATATAGCAGCGTATGGACTTATGAAAATTTAAAAAAACAGTGGCAAATTCTACATTTTGCCCTCATTAAAGTAGATTTAACAATGCAAGTGTGTGGATCGGAGATTATTTGAAATATTATTTGAAATAATTATTGCAACACTTTTTGTGATATGAAAAAAGTGATTGGAAAGATAAAAGTATATATATTAGAAATTATATTTGTGACGTAAATAAAAAATTTTTGACCAAATTACAGCTACTGACACTATTTACCACTGGTTTTACTTGGACTATGTAAACTACACATTGGCTCATCAGCTACAGAGAGTCGGCATACATTATCTTCTTGTTTCTGCTTTTGTCATGCACTTTGGTAATTGTTTTTGATTGATTGAAACAATAACTCAACAATGAGGTTTTGTCTTAGTAGCAATATATTTTTAAGAAGGGATAATTTCAGAAACCTCTACTAAGGTTTGTGACTATTTCAGTGGCCTTTTTTTAGGTTTCAAAAATTACATTAACCTCCATTAAGGATTATTGTATTGTAACATCTATGTCCAACCAGCAATTAAACAATGATATTAGGAGAGAGAAGATAACATGATTTCATCATTGCCCCTCATCTATTATATTATCTAATTAATCTAATACTAACCCACACATTAAAGAAAAATACAAGAATTCGTTGATTACCATCTGGGATCAAATCACATATATCATGGGATCAAACTTGTTGTCATGGATAATCAATGACAAATAATTAAAACAATTTGCCGGTTGGAGTAAAATGTTATAAGATAATTAACATCAAGGGATGTTAGTATAATTTTCAAAACCCGGAGGAAGGCCAATGATGTAGTTAGAAACCTGAAGAGAGGTTTCCAAAATTATCCCTTTCAACGAGTGATAGAAATATTCATGAAAAATATACCGTGTCAACTTTCAACATAGTTTTGTCGAATTGGAAGTTAGATATAATATGTTTTGTTGTTTGACCGTATTAGTCTAATGGCTAAGTGTGGGATTTAAAACCATAGAATCTTAAATTTTAATTTCCCTTCCTCCTCCCCACTTCTTAAGTTTCACCCTCCCTTACTAAGAGAGAGAGAGAGGGAGGGGGGAGAAAAATGCGCTAACCTAACAAGGAAATTACAAACTGAACAACTCAAGAAATGAAGTAGAAATTGTGAACGACTCGAAAATGGGAAATGCAGTTGGAGTTGAAATTTTTTTACAAAGAAAACTAAATGAGATATAAAAACAATAAAAAAAAAATTTGCCTTAAAGAACATAGTTTAATAAAATGTTGCCCGAATGCCAAGATTTTTGGGCTACGCCACTAACTTGTACATCTCTTTAACGTTCTCTTTATTTATCTTTTTCGAAAATTTCTATTCTGCAATTTATTCTAATATGATGTTTTACAGGCTTTTTGTATTCATTAATTTCTGAATTTGGCGATTTTTGCGATTAACACACAATCTCTTGCAAAATACTCATTTGCACATGTAGGCTAGAGATAGACATGGTGCTGCGGCGTGCTTGCCAACCGTGAGTTTTTTGCGCCAGTTCACTTGCAAGATTTGATCATCAGGAAAAATATAGTTTTAATCCTAATGTTTTACTCATGTGTTAAACTGATCTATAATGTTTCAACCAAAATAAATTTGATTCCCCAGTTTTCGAATTTTAGACATATTTAGAATAATTGACCCAAAATCAACAATGTCTAAAGGTCAAAGTCAATTTCCCATTCAAGCAGTTCAAAGATAAGGAGTTTGTCGTCGTCATTTAGTGTGAATTCATCGGTTGAACTTTCTGTCATCTCATTTGAGAAGATGCCAAGCAAGCGCACAAGATCATCACAGCTGGAGAGGGACGGGCGAAGAACCATACCAGACTCAAGATCCTGACAGTTATCAGAGAAATGGAAGAAAAACAACTTGAGCATTTCAGTCATGAGGAACACCCTCTGATCCTGTGTGAATTGCAGAAGGAAAACGATGACGGTAGCATTGATCAAAAGTCAGCAGTCTGTTATGGGTGTCAGGAGCAAATCTCGGACTCCACAGCATACTGCTGCTTCCGCTGTGATTTCTTTCTCCACAAAAGATGTGCGGAGCTTCCTCGACAAATTAGGCACCCGATGCATTCCCAGCATGACTTAGTCCTTCTTAGGAATCCAACTTATTTCTCGGGTGGTTGTTCTTGCAATGCGTGTGGCCAAGGTGGTTGGAAGTATTTCACCTACCATTGTTCCTTGTGCCAATTTGATCTCGATGTGTCGTGTGCTATTTTGGATCAGCGGGAAATTAAGCTCGATTGTCATGACCACCCTCTTCGACAGCAGAGACCAGCTGATATCTATTGTAATGCTTGCAGTAAGGTTGGTGAAGATTCATCCTATCTGTTCGCTGTTTGTCCATTTTGGATCCACAGAAAATGCGCACTGCTATCATCACCTGTGAAGCACAAGGATCACAATCACCCACTCCTACTGGCTTATTCTCTTCCGCCTGACTACCGCAGTTTTCGACAACGTTGCCCTGTTTGTCGCGAAATGATACATCCGAGCGATTGGCTCTATTACTGTGGCCCCTGCAGATACTTCGTCCATGTTACGTGCGTTGTGATCTCTCAAGAGGATGAAGGGCAGCTAAGTGAAGATATTGAATATCCTATCTCGTAAGAGCTTTTCTTTATTTTGCTTGCTATTGTTAACGTAATGGTTGACTCTTTAGCTCTGTTTGTTCCCCTCCAAAAATTTAGTTTTTTACCTTTTTACCATAATCATGATGAAATACTTTTGGCATTCTATCCTCTGAATTTCTTGTCTTGTGGGTTGCTAGAGGAGAACGAGATCAAAATGTGGTGAAACTACCATCCAGTAATGCGGCTCAAGAATTGATCGCCCGTTTTCTTCTCAAGGAAGATGAGATCAGTAGCGGTAATGACTCAGGCAAATCGAATATTCCAGAAAATATATTTATAGATTCACACAGGAAGCATCCGCTTGTTCTTTCACAGAAAGTACAAAACTTAGATGAGATAAAGAGTACTGCTAATAGTGACGATCAGGAAGAAGCAAAAGCATTGTTAGTATGTGACGTGTGCATTGAACCTATTTGCTCATCTGATGATCTTCATTACTACGCTTGTGTTGAGTGTGGTTACTTTGTCCATTTAACTTGTTCTAACCTCCCCCCTGAATTGCACATTCCAAAGCATCCCCAGCACCCATTCTCCTTGACTTGTAAATCGAGTGCAGTTGGTATTTTTGAATGCGAGGCATGTCGCTGTTGGACCAATGCTGCCTGGTGGACCAATGCTGCCTGTTATAAATGCAAATCTTATGAACTAAGCATTTGTATAAAGTGTGCGAGTGCTAGCATGATCACGAGCAGTGTCAAACACGATGGTCACAAGAAGCACCTCTTGACTCCATTTCAAAGTTCACATCTTTTCATGCGTTGCACGGCATGCGACTATACACGTGGAGGTGGTTTTTGGTTTGCTTGTGAGGATTGCCACGTCTATGTGTGCTATGCCTGTGCTCTGCTGCCTCCTACAACCACACAGAGATGGGACAAGCACCCGCTTCACCTGATATATCCTCCGTATTTCGAACATCCTGAGAAATTCTACTGTGTGCTCTGCGAAACAGAAATCAACCCACATTGTTGGATGTATCACTGCCGTGAATGCGACTACTCATTGCATCCATGGTGCATTCCCCAAATTAGGAGGTTCGGACGTGTGAAGTATGGACGCTCCCTAAATGTGAATAATCATTCTCATCCCCTCACTCATGTTCCCGAAGCAAAATACAAATCCTTTTGTGGGAGCTGCAGCGACAGGAGGTTGGATTGGGAAGAGGCTTTCGAATGCGAATCGTGCAGCTTTTATCTCTGCCGAACATGTGCCCGCCAAAGGGAATTGCGTGTTGTAACCATTAATGAGTGATGATGAAGGATCGCACGAACTACAGGTTTCTATATCTGATTTTTCATTTATAATACTTATGAATTGCTTGGAAGTTCAAATAAAGTAATTAGTCAACTTGCAGATCACACTAGTTTTTTGGTGTTGTCTTTTGTTGGTCTGTAATTTATGCAACAGATCTCGTTTTAATGCTCCAATAACTGGTAATTGCACTCTCCTAATCTTCCATTCCTATCAAAACCACTCAATACTTAATAAAATACAATTAGAATGAAACGTAGAAATAATTGATTTTGTCTTTTCACATGATTAAAAAGTTCACATGATTATGGAATTAACATTACAAATTTGCCCAAAGAGAGACAACTTCCCCACTTCCAACTAATTCCCAATTCCAAGACAACTCCCCCACTTTCAAATTCCTACATTGCCCATTTCTACTAGCTAAATTTCGAATTTCAACAATGCACCAAAGAGGAGTGTTGCTGCCCCCATTGCTGGATGTTCAACTCCCAGATTTTATATTGTTATGTCAATTTTTTTTTTTAATTTAATGTCAAAGTTATCCTTCTCTAGTTGATTTGTAACTTAGACTTGAAATTGAAAGGAGTATTTTTGTCATCTTTACAAAAATTGCTGTGAAATAAAATTGGAATAAAGGCAGTATCCTCTACCTTAGGAGAAAGTTGGAGATTTTGGAAGAATATGAGACTATTGGAGATTTTTCATTCATACACTGAATATGCCGACGACTAATGATAGTTTCAAGTATTTTACCACTTTGATAAGATTTTAGCCAACAACTTGAGTTTATTTTTTGAAACAACAGGCTAATGCTTGTAGCCGCATGTCATCTCAAAAAAAAAAAAAAAAAAAAGAAACAATAAGGATTAATTCGTGTTATTTGATTTTGGTGATTTCACAATATTACTTATTCTGTTTAATGATAGTTTCGAGCAACGTATCACTTTCATACATGATTTTAGCCAACAAAACCTAAGATTATTTTTTGAAGCAACAATATAATGCTTGTAGCCACACGTCATCTGAAAAGAAAAAAAAAATGAACAATTACGGATCACAATCATTACTTAACTAAGTATAATTAATCTCTAATAGAAACGTGAGGAAATATATATATTTCATGTCACACATTTTTTATTCCTCTTTATAAATGATTATAATTAATCCCATTGATGGGATCGGTACATATGCGAATTATAACTCAACAACATTGCAATTAAAAGAGAATTGAGTTCAATCAAGCTACTCACCAAGTTATGCAATTAAAATTCAAACTCTAACTCGCATTGACCACGTATGAGCCAAATTCGTAAAGCTCGAATATGTCAACAAGTTCAAACTCAAACTCTATATGCTAGGCTCGAGAGCTCGTCAAGGATTTTGCTCTAAAAGCAAGAAGGAGGATGGACAAAATTGTACTCAAAAGTTCACCACAATTTATTTATGTAGGATTTTTTTTATGTGTGAAATGTTGATTATAACCCTTGCCTAAAATTATATAAAACATTAATCTATATTACTTAAGCTTGGTTGAATTCAATTGAACCAGATCTAGTCACATTTGAATTTGAGAGCTCAAATATTTTAGCTTAAGTTTGAGTAATCCACAGCCTTAGCTCGACTTGACTCGTTCATTTGCACCTCTAATAACATCAGTTACATCTAATAATTCAAAAATAACATACAAGAAGAACATACTCACATTCAGTGGCATTTCAATCTAAGACCTCTAATATCTATGCACCACATTAGTGAATTTTAACTAATAGTAGAATGTTAATTGATGTTAGCAAACTCAGAAGAAATAATTTTTTTCAATTTCTTCAAGCCCAAGCAGATTACAAAGATGTCAATGCCAAAGAATTCGAAACAATTGCAGAATTAAATGAAGCCAAAGAATATTATTAAAAAAAACTTAAAAGGTACTCTGGTAGAAGTATTCTTTGGGTTTTCTAGCAAAATGTCGCATCACCAGAACTATGAATAAATTGCCCAAACAAGCCACCCCAAGGCTTAATCTCTCTCTATCGTTTCAACAACATATACAAAAATTAGCCTCAACAAAAGGTAACCGCAGAGCTATCAACATCTAAGCATTGGAAAGATGCGCCGTAACAACATGATGTCCAGCCTCAATTTCTTGACATTTAAATGTCAGCTGCAAGAAAGTTCTGAGATAAAGTAACCTGCAAAAAACACCCCAGTAAGTGTCCACTTCTTTTTCTCACGCATTGGGAAGTTATATTGATTTTCTGCCAGCCAAAAAACATCTTAACATCTTAAGAAAAGCTAATGCTCATGTAAAGATAATTCCAGTATTGTACTGAAAGTGTTCTCAGAGGTGCACGCCCTAGTGTGAGGAACAGGAAAAACGCCCCTGGGGAGCAGAGGGAGATAGAGGCATCCTCAGGCGTAACCCCCCCCCCCACCCCAAAAAACCTCCAGGACCAACTTACCACGCTTTGGACCTCTTCTGCAAAAACTCCATAGCACCAAAGTATTGGTTTTTGACACACCAAAGAAACTATCAAGAAAAGAATGTAAAATTTGAAACTTTACTCATAAAAGATTTCATGTACATAAAGTGTAGGAGATCATGTTGGTGAACCATGAACACACAAAGCATTAACTGAAGGAATATTTGAAAAGCAAAGGAGAGAAGAATAAGTAAGCGTCCGAGATTTTTGAAGATTTGAGGAACGGCGGTGCTTCTCAATTCTTATGAACAGGTATTCTATGGATTCTTTTTCAATTTCAAAATTCAGTGTAATAAACTGTTCAGCAAATAAATAACTATGAGAAAAAACAGTGAACATCTTAAGAAAAGTTGGAGAATTCACACACATACTTTTCTAAGCTCTAACAACAAAAAGATAATACAACACAGAAAAGCTGGTAAGCAGGCAAAGAGTACAATAGTGAATCCAAAAACACATCGATAACTTAATATAGGATAAAAAATTCCTAGACTTTAAAAGTTGAGGACGAATTAACTCCAGGAAGAAAGTAACACTGGCAAACAAAAGGAGGCATACCCAAACACATGTAACTGACAGTTGAATATTTACCTTTTCACCCATCTTGAATGGAGGAAGACCCTTGTAGGGACATGTACTGCAGCGGAAAGCATCACCTAGACCACACTGCATCATGACCAGGTTGGTATTGCATTAAAACACAATGATGAACACACACAATTATATTATAGTCAAAAGGCAAAAAATCTATTAAAGAAGCAAAAAGAACTACACCTGCAACTTAACTACATGGCTGACACATATAAATTTAAGTTCTACTAAGGTGTTCCTAGAAATGATTTGAACTACCATTGAAACAAATAAAAGCACAAGAAACAATTCTAAATGTTAAGCAATACAACAAAACTCATTGAATATCTTAGCATGATCTTAAGTTCCAAAACACAATGAGAAGGACCATCTGAACTCCTACCAATTAGATAGAAGTCCACCAAATGTAATGAATACACCCAAGAAAATATAATAAGAAGACCTCATGGAAAGTGTTATTTCAGTGTAGGAGTGGCAAAGAAAGTCTTCTAGCCTGAGAGAATACTGTTGCAACATCCTCAGAAACAATTCAATATTCACTCAAATTTTCAGCTTTCCTCTTTGCAAGTATCTAACAAGTCATATTTCTATGAACAAAATTTTGTAAGGCATGAAAATAACTCAAACGAACCATATTATTCACTAACTTATAGTATTTGTCAAAATTAATTCCATAAACAGTTCCTCTCAATTTAAGCTGCAAGCTACGTCTTCCTGACCATTGCCTTTTACTTACATGATTGCAATGAATATTTAGGAGGACTTAAAAGGTAGAATAGTTAACACTAAGCTGGGAAACGCTTTTGGATCATCTAATTCGAGGAGAAAATGAGGAACATGAGGAGAAAAAGCTTTTTGTAGGAGAAAGATGTATGTATCTTTTCAAATGTTTCATTTAAGGAGTTTCACATAATTTTAATAATCCAAAATCCACGAAATCCATTATTAACAAAGAATAGCATTCTACTAACTGAGGAATCGGTTCTCCAAGTATTTTAAGAAGCATCAAGAAGATAAGCCTAAACAACTACTCTTCTATGCAAACAGAATGCTCTTCCGTTCTAACAATCATGTTAAATTGCAATAATACAGAAGTCAAGTAGACCACCAGGCTTAAGATGCAGGACCTTCACTTTGACAATGATGTTCTCAAGAAAGGTCAACTAAAGTTAGTTGAAATTGCTGAAATTAAACAATATGTACATACATTGCCACAGGCAGACTGAGGATTGTTCAGCTGGTCCATAGTAAGTCCCAACTTCACTTTCTCTTCCGCTTCAGCCCGCCCACAAGTGCAATTTTTGCATGCTTTCCTAGTTTTTCCAACTTCACAATCACCTACAGCATGAAATTTTTGGCAGCTCAGTGTAATATCAGACATACAGACACGTGGATAAAACATTTCAGAAGCTACGTCAGAAATGCCACGGCTAGAATAAAGCTGTCTTACCCACAGGCAGCTGTGGTTTCTTCAAATCCTCTTCACTTAGCAGGGTGTCCTCATCTATCAAGTCCGTATCATCACCAATCTGGACTGCAGGTAAACTTTTTGTTTGTTTCTTTAGTAAAAAGGATGAACCAATCTTCCAAGAAGACTTTTTGCCCGAAATCTGTTCAAGTGTGTCACAAAACCTCAGATGCACAACTTACACAGAAGAAGGCAAAAAGCTTGCAAACAAAGCCAGGGCACCAGAATCATTCTGCAAAAAGTTGCAGGGAGAGGAGCGAAGATGGAAAAAGACAAGGAGGGGGGGAGGGGGGGATAAATCGAAACAGTACAAGGACACTAACCCCAATAGACTGACCAGCTTCAGATGATTTTACATCCAAAAGTCCTGCCAACAATAACTTGCGCTCAAGGGAAGACTTTGTCTGCAACACTCCCCAGAAAAATAATCACGAGCAATCATTTACTAATTCAGAATTTGCAAAAGGTAAATGAACAGTCAAGAAGTATATTCAACTGAGTGAAAATTGGAACCAATGGGTAGCTTACCTCTTGCAAAGGAGTAGATTGGGAAGTCAGGTGCACCAGCACTGTTCCACCAGGCTTTAAAATTCTTGAGATCTCCAGAAACAACGCATCATTTGGAAACTCAGATGACTTGCTGATGACCACAACAACATCGATAGATGAAGATTCAACTGGCACAGAACCTATCATACATAAAAAGTAAATAGACCAA